ACTGGGCCAGGAAAGATGAAACTCATGTGGAATCATCCTCAGGTAGTGTAGATTCAAGTTTGTTCAAATCATGATCCCCGGGGCTAGGATGGGGCCAAAATGGCTGACCCAAGTTTTACATAGGGATATATAGAGAAACTTTTTAAAATCTTCTTTTCAAGTACTTCAAAGCTATGATTAGTGATATTTATATGGAATCATCCTCAGGTAGTGTAGATTCTAATTTGTTCAAATGATGAACGCCTGGAGGGGGGGGGGGATAAATTCAAGCCCGATGTGCTCAGGTGAGCGCTGTGGCCCCTGGGCCTCTTGTTGGAAATGTGACTGTGGTTTTAGTCATATTAATTTGTTAAACATTAGGCAGGGCTTTGGTGTTTTTGAAAACTATTACACATAACATCTTATTAAAAACCATTTATCATTATTAAATTCCAAATACCAGACTCTCCACCAGAAACTTTTATAAATTAGATTTGGATCTTAGTTAGCTGGGAGGTTTGAATAAGTGTATTTGGACTTCATTTGACCACGTTGAAATGCTAAAAAAAAAACCACCCAAAGTCACTACCCGTACGAAATTCAGAGACGTATTACGCTTGGATTTTTTGCAAATCCTGGCGTACAAGAGACGTATTCTTAAAAATACGGTTCATTTTCAGGCGTACACGTATTTTTGCCAGAAATACGTCTCCTTTTTTCCAGGCGTAATTTCTAAATCCGGGCGTATTTTCTACTTAGTCTCTTTGGCACAAGGAATTTAAAACTTAGAAAATTCAAAAGGCGTATTTTTGAAAATTCTGGTGGATTTTTCAACTTAGCCAAAAAAACTTAGTCAACTCATTCTCTTTTTTAAAAAGTATTGAGTTACATAAGAAACATTTATATGATATTATATAACTGAAACAAAAGACAAAATATTGCATGATTATATACATTACAATATTGCATTTAGTTTGTAATTACCTATATTAAATATTATTCAAAGCAATTATTTTTCATAAATTAAACTGATTTTTTTTAGAACTTTGTCCCATGGACCTGAAATTTTGTCATTCCCATTTTTTAAAAAATTGATATTATTTTTCTTAACACAAATGATTTCTATAACTGTAAAGTAAATAGTATATATTCTTTGAACTTCATGATTTGTTTAGTCAGGCTATAAACATACATGTTATTACATCATTTAAATGTTTTTCTTATAAAATGCTTTATATTTGGTATATTCAGATACTATTACATTACCATCAACTTTCACTTCCCTAGCCTAACCTGCTGGGATTGTGGTAATTACTTACAGATGTGTTGAGCATGTTTAGGAACGACTTATCTGTGATGTTGTAAACCTTTCTAAGAACAGCTTATCAATTTACATCCGGTTTGTATGCAGTTCTATTTCCCACCCTAATTATCTTTAAAATTAGTGAATTCATATAGTGAATACACCTTGTTTATACACCTTGTTTATACATTGATGGAATTTTATTTTATATTGTGTAAACAAAACAGCATTTTTTCTTCAATTTACAAATTGTACTGAGTAGAACTTCCAGAAATCATAAAACTGTTTAGCTAACTAGGGGGTTGTAAACAACAGCATCTGCATCCAAGTATTTGCGCCAATTTTAAACCACCAGGCAGTTCATGCCAAGAACAATGAGATTAGAGAAAGCCACAACAAAGCACAGATGGTGTAAAAGAGGTAATTATTTTGAAAACATAGCTTAACATTGAAACTTTTTATCTATGAAAATAAAAGACAGCTGAATTTACTTTTGATTTGCAGAGCCAGATGTTAATGATTGAAAATTGGGTCAGTAGTATTTTGAATTACATAAATTATTTTCTAGTGTTTTTCTTTTTCCAGAAAATGATTTACATCTAAATCCTTATCACAGTTGAAAAATTGATTGAATGATGTAATGGTCATAAGAGGAGGAGAAAAGATATTGCAATATTAAGAGTTGACCAGCAGCATTAAGCTTTCCATATTTTATTGCAATAATGCCAGTGAACTGCAGCCATTGGAAGATAATGCATCAGGAAGAAGAAGACTGTTTGCAATGCCAGTTATAAAACATTCAAACTTCTTTTTGTGAATATTTCAATCTATGAAAATGTGGTTGGGGAATGTGATGTGAAACGTGAATGACAGAATCGCTTGTGATTTGCATCTTTTATGCCAATTTAGGAGTAAAACGAATGACAGGAGTACTCGGCATGATTCTCAAAACTGTGATTCACTGTGATTACTGGAATGTTTCAACTGTTTTACTATAAAACTCAGCCTTGGATGTTAAAATGCTGTGAAATGGTTAATATAATTCTAACATGTAACTGTGCTTTGAAATAGTAAATGTAAGATTATGATTTTTTAAATTTTAATGACAATCCTTTATTTGAATCTCATTCACATTTTATCACACTAAAAAATATTCAGAAAATAAAAGTGATGTATGCTAAGCTTAATTTGTCTAATCTCTTTTAGTATATGTAGTCAAAAATCTTTGTACTAAAGTTGATTGTACATTTATATTCATGCTATAGTTGTAGCTCCCATTGCAGTAATATAATTAATATTTAATTCAAATCTATTTTAAGCAGGCGTATTTTTTTTACAGGCGTATTTTTTTTGTACGGGCGTATTCTTTAATACGGGCGTATTTATTTTGCAGGCGTATTTTTAAGGGTGTGCTTGAAATCTAGGCGTAATTCTATTATTAAAATTTCCAGGCGTACTCATTTGCATATTTCGGCCAAAAATACGGGAGGATTACGCCTCGTGTACGCCCGTATTTTACATTATACGCCTGGTTTTATATATTCATTTCAATAGAGATTTCCACAAGGATTTTTAGATTAAAATACGCCTGGATTTTTTTGAAAATACGTGACTTAAATTTCGTACGGGTATATTGATACATGTTACATGATCAATAAGATATATAATTTTATATATATAAATTATAGCCACTTTTTTCCCCCATGTGGCATTGGCCTCTTGGGGAGTTGTAATGTGTTTATATATATACTTTATAATTAGTACCCTTTGACTTTTTAAAGATCAAAGGATGTCTAGTTAATTGAGTAAATCTTAGTATTTAATTATTTTTTTTTTAGAAAATTAACAGATTTAGAGTGCCAATTTTTGCTTGTATGTTTTTACTTTTCTTATCTTGCTTATGAAATTTAGATTAGCTTATCATTATCTGAATCTAGAAAGAATTGAGTAAGATTAAAGTGGAGAAAATAAAGGTGTCAGGACCTAAACTATGTGAACAGAGGACAAATTTACTGCCGTTGACCTTATTATATTTCAAGAGTATATGTACAAGTGATAATATATGTATAAAAAGCCAATTAAAACTTTCCGACATCATTTAATCATCAAATATTCAGCATTTTGAACATGTTGAACTTATGACCCTGATGACTGATTTCTAAGTGCACTTCTCTATAATGGTTTATTTACGGTTCACCTTAAATGTTCAGTATACATGGTATATGTATCGAAACATCAGTTGATCGAGCTACTAAGTTGCAGTAGTCAATTTTTCCACAACCTAGCTGCCAATTTTTTTTGTCCCACTACTGTGCCAGTTTAAGCCTGGTATCTAGTATCCTTGATGTTCAAGGTCTAGTTTAATGTCAAGTATACTACCTTCAGGAGAGTTAATAGTTATCAGTCTTCCTGACCTTATTTCACTGCCACTGAAAACCTTGGTCTGATTTCTACTGTATATACCATTATCACTGATAATACTTATGTACAGTATACATGTATGTCTATTTTTTGACATAATTTGTTTTTCTGAAATGTGTAAAATGCATTATAATTTGTTTTTATGATGTATGAACATGATGAGGTAGTAAGCCTTTTGGCAGTTCCCCCTTGAGATTTCAGATGATTTTTTAAAGGAAAAAAAAAACAATTTAAGATCTGATTCCTGTGTAGAAGGTGAAGACCAGTAGGAATGATACATTTAATACATATATATCTATATAAAATATTTTAAATTCTGTGCTTTTGACCTTTTGAACAGCTGGCTTGCTAAGTGTTGTTTATGAACTGATTAGTAGCAATAGTTTTCATAAGAAGTAACAGAAATAATATTCATAGATGTAAGTTTTATTCATTGATCCATGTGGGTTTTGTATTACATGTATTATTTAGAAAGGAAGCTGTTTTTTTTATTTTAAGTAAGCAGCTGTCTAGTACAGTAAGGCCCCAAGTTATTTCCATTCGGACAGGATTCATATAACCTGAGTAGGACCTATTAAGTTATTTCCATTCATTCAGGATTTGTGTTATTAATAATCTGACCATGTTTCCTTTATTGAGATAAGTGTGGTCATGGCCATGTCACAAGTGTAGATATTAACCTTAGTAAAGGCTTAGTTGAAGGACTCTTAATGTTTGAAGGTGAGATATCTATGGAAACTTGTGTATTATTTTGACCTTGATTTTTAGTTGTGTTTAAAGTATGACATATAATTATGACTATGGTAACATGCTACTTTTGCTACTTATATTTATTACATAATCTTCTAGTGTAATAATTGCTTATTTTGTAACCGCCACTAGCATACACCCCACCCCCAAAAAAATGTTTACAGTATGTGTATATATATTCTTGCAACTTATGACAATTTATTTTGACCAATTTTACAACTACATTTCAGATTTCTTGTCAAGCCATACTTGTATGTTACAAGGAATTGGAGAGAACCGGACAGATAGAACTTATAATACCAACAATGGATTTTTAACATTGACAAAAACCTGTCTGATCTGCTATTCCCAGAAAGGAGAAAGGTACATGTAGTAAGTAAATATATGTGATATTGGGTCAGGATAGATCATTTAGTATATATATGCTTGTAGGTGTGATTTCTTGATGAACCTGGTCTGGAATCTTTAACATGTGTAACCTATCATCACTGGATATATATTTCAGGAAAATTAGTGTATTGAGGAAGGAAAACATTAATATGGAAGTAAAAAATTATCATTATTAAGGTAATAAGATATTTAGTTCTCCACTGTACATGTATATTTAATTCAATCAATTTTAATGCTATGAAAATTGATTTTTTTTTTTTTTTTTGGTTAGGTGGGGATGGTGGCATTTTAAAAATACAAATATGTGAACAAAACACATGCATGTGATATTTTAGATACAAGTACTAGTACATGTATTGTTAACTTTTATTGCACGTCAGGGAGAAAATTATCATTATAACAGGGACCCTTGATAATGATTATAGTTGTGCATGTTAAAGATGATAGTGATTATTTAAGACTTGTTAAAAATGAGTACATGCAGTCACAACAAACAATTTCTCTCCTCTAATACCCCATTCATACGACGAAACTTTGCTTATGTGTGCAAATTTACATATGAGTAAATATACACACATTAGTAAAAGTTAATTTGCTATGCGTTCAGACGAGATTTATGTACTGTAAGTAAATCCTTATATTTTCATATAAAAATTAGAAATAAGGAGATCCACAGTTTCAGAATTGTAGAACCTTAGAGAAAAAGCTCATTTTCTCACTATCTGGGTATAAGACTACTCTTGAATGTTCCCCAAAGAAAGTAGGGGGAAATCTGATCCATTTATTTTTGGTATGGAAAGAAGCGAATTAATTTAATAACTTTTAGGAAAAAATTACATATAAAAAAAGGAAAATTAATTGAAATCATTGTTTAAATTGGATAATGCTTTGGCCTCTGTCCTAAACTGCTAAAGACTTTAGAAGAGCCATTGAGAGTGCAGAAAAGATGACTGTTGCCATCTACTGTATGGCGTCTTCAGCAGAGTAAAGTACGACTGGAAATCTTTTTGGTGTTTGGAAATCTACAGTATATCAAGTTTGCCAGGTCATTATGAAGTTTCTGCTTGAATATTATACGTTTACGGTTTTTCCAGGAGAGTGAAATGGGCAATCGATTTAAAAAAAATCAAACAAAACAAATATGTGAATAGGAAATAAACACGAATTCCCTAGAAATGCATGGTGGGATCAGGTGCCAAGGATCGAGAATACTTAAAAATGCTTAATCTCAACATGTTTGTTGAAATTCCTGTAGCATGAATTTATATGTCAGTAGCTTGCCTTGGTTTAAAAACAAAGAAAGGTAGAAGAAAGATGATCTAAAATGGTACTGGGTGATTGATGCAATGCCTATTCCTACAACAGCCCCGGAGCATTCCCATGAAGACAACTTGAATAGTAACGGTTTTCTTATTAATCATACAGGGCACATGTTTTCGCGATCACAGTTATATTTTCATAATTTAGATGCATATAAACATGGGTTTGCCAGGAAGGGTGCAATATGCGCACGTTTTTGCAAATATATATCTCAGAGGAGACTGGAGATATAGTGTGGATCCTTGTTTTCAGAGTTGAAAAAGCCATTTGTGGAAAGAACTATGGTAGCACAACCCGGTGTATCCTTTAGAGACTTTAAAGCAGTACCCTTATAAAACTCAAATTACTTTCAGCTGTCATTGGTGTACAGGAAAGATGACCATAAAAAATCCAGTTTCTTATGTTTTGATTTCTAGCCACCATGTTAACAGACTGATATTATATAGACAACAATACATTAACAACCAAAACAACACTAAAAATGGAGATTCATGCAATAAACAATACGAAATACATACATAAGTAAATTTGCTGCGTGTTCATATGACAGAATTAACACGCATGAACTAAAAATTTGCGACAACATGTATGCAAAAGTTAATTTGCACCTAGTCCTGACTAGGTGTAAATTTACTCAACTGTGCAGAATTTACATGTGAGCAAATCAGTTCATACGACCAGAATTGCACATGTGAGTGAATATTCATATGAATAAAATATACTGAGGTATGCAAATCATGTCGTATGAATGGGGTATTAAATTCTTTCTTATTAAGAAGTTTAGATCTTAACCTAAAACACTTTCAAATCATGAGTTAACCTTTAGAAGTAGTTTTTAGACAGACAGCTTAACAGGCAAAGTTGCATGTCATTGAACACATAATCTCTCTAGCATTGTTGATGAAGATAAAGACTTTTTAGGAGATATGACACAGTATGATAACAGTATTATACAACCACTTATAACACTACAAACAAGGGATAAGGACTAATGAAGGAGCACACAGGACCTTTCCTTGTGTTGTTTATCTAGGCTACAGTCTATGAGGATCTTTGCAATTGCACATATAGTGAGTTCATTAATTCTCTTCATGATGTTCATAGATATTATCTATAGATGTTGCTTTGTGAATCATCGGATCCCTATAATTAGCCTAAATTTTAACTTTATCAATAATACAATATGGTCTGAATGCAGTCTTATGCCAAGAATTGAATAATCTTTATCGAAATCAGAACATCTCAAGCATTGGTAAGTTTACAGGCAGATTAAAGTTTAAACTAAAAACATATCCATCAGATCCATTTTTGTTGAAATAGCGCTTGGTCAAATATGCTAAGTTACCTGTATTTTCAACAGTGAAAGCATTATTTTGCATTTTTCATCTTGTCAGTTCAGGTCAATACAGGAGTCAGCTATCTGGTAGTAGAGCTCATATAAATTGTTTTATATATATATATAAATTTTTATGGGGATATATAACAGTGTATAAGCTGGTGTTAGAAAATTCCCATTGAGTCTTTCAGCTTATTAAGTAGCGCTAATTTTCAAGCTATTTCTTAATTGAATTAATGCAGAAATTAAATAGAGTTTGTAGCAAATGGTGGTGTGTATATTCTGTATGCAGTTTAAAGTTTTGAATCATTGGCAACTGTCATGGGTTCAGACAAAAGACTAACCATGCTTGTGTAAATTTCATTTAGATTTAAAAATCAAATGACCTTACCCAATACTTGTCCTCCTCTGACCCACATATAAATGTTCTTTTATTTACCAGGGTAGTCTAGCCTGTCTACATGGGTCCATTATGAAAGTCAGGTGCATTTCTAAAGGCATTGTAATGCTGATTTGTGTATTTAATGACAATATTCCATTTGAACTAATAGTACAGTAACTATAATGTTAAACATAAATGTATAAAAAAAAAAAATTGACATTTTTCAGGGAATATTTTTTTACCTAAAACAAATGTGATGATAAATCTGTTTAAAAAGTGAACTTTGGTAATTATTTTTTCTTTGTATATAACATAGGTCTCTGCTGCTAAGTATTCAGTCATATAGAGATCAGTGTTGAGGTAGTGATTTGGTTTTATCATAATGATTTTCATCCCTTCCTCTCTTAAACTTTCCCCAAAGATTGAGATGTAATTGCATGTAGATGTCCAATTATATCTTATGCTCTATATTCACTGTGTACAAAGTCTCTGAAAACTTTTAAATCATTGTAAACCTGTTTTACAGATTGAAGTTTATTTTTGAGTCGATAATGAATTTGGATCTGGTTAGATTATATATAGAAATTCAGTGTTGCTTGAAGCGCATCTGGTATTAATTCTCAATGAAGGCAACAAGCAATTCAAAGTGAACTTTTAACATCAATATTGATTGTCAAAAGAAACCTGCAATGAATCTTATTTACTATGTACTTGTATGGAATTAACTCAAACAAATGCAATTATTTATCAGCTAGCAAACCATCAAGTACATGTGTATATGCTTCAGTGAATAAACACACTGATTAACATATTTTAAATTGGATATTGAATGACTTTGCTAAATTCTATATATTATGTTAATATGATATTATTCTAATGATTTATTTTATGGTTTCCATGCAACATCAAAATGGACTACATGGAATGTATGAACACTGATGTTTTCAACATGTTCAAGTCTAAATTAGTGTTTTTTATTGGTTGTTTGTGGATTTTAAAAATTTTGTATTAAATTATGCACAAAATCTTCATTTTTTTAAAATCATTTATTTACAGATGGCAGACAGAAAAAGGAAAACTAGCTGACAGCGGCTAACGAGTAGTGTGATTAATACACCGAAGTTGTTCATATTTCTTCTGAGATTATAACTCCATATATAGACTGTCACCATGACGATGATGTCGGTGACTTTTGAGGTGATGTTCCGGGTGGCGGTAGAGGTGGAGAAAGATGAGGTGGTGTGTGTGGTGGGGGACTGTGACCGCCTCGGAAACTGGGACCCCCACCACGCGGTGGTGCTGACGCGGGAGTCCACCAGCCCCTCACAGTGTAGGAAGAACAAGGAGGAAGCCAGTGGGTGCACAGAGGGAAAACAGGCAACATGGTAAGAATGTGACAGAAAAAGACAGTTATAGATCTTGTTTTGTTTTTGTATTTAAACCACGCCCCTTCCTCAGTGCATAAAAGTTTAATGAGAAAACTGTTAGATTGTACATCAAATCATGATTAGCTTAGCAATGTGTAAAATGCCTTGGTTGAAGTTGTAACAGTTAAGTGCACTGTAGATTGCTTTAGAGGTATTTTTTTAAGAAGGCTTTCAAAGAATCTGTGGGACTTGTTTCAGTTGTTTGTGTAGTAAATGTTTCAGATTAGTAATTATCCAATGAGACACACCCTCTTTCCTGTTTGATGTCTATTGCCTATGAGTACATAGGTAAATCATGTTATGCAGTCAAGAAGTCAATTAATAACCACTCCAATGTTTTGGAATATATAATTGTTTTATGTTGTAATTACAGTTACATTTTGCCACCTCCTCCCCCATTTAAAAATGAAAAAAAGGTCTATTTTGATTAATAAACATGCACATTTGAGAGATTAGTGAAAATGTGATTAGAAGCAACATTAGGCATGTATTAGATATGGATAAAACTGTCAGATGTTATTGTAATAAAACTTAGCAGTCAAAGTGTATATGCATTGCCTCTGATTCAAAACCCAAAATAACATGACAATACATTATTTATTAATAACATTTTATTACAAAATTATATGCATATTACATGAGTTAATTACATGAAGTAGGTATGAAAGGAAACCAAAAAAATGTAAAACTATATTAATTTCTAAACTAAAAAGTAGATTTTTTCCTTTCAATTTTTGACTTCAAAATGTTACAATAGGTAAAATGCATTAAGGTGTTCAGAGTTCCCGAAACGCACCGGTCCACCGGGGATCCCCGGTAAATTTTGAAAGGGACCGGTAAAATTTTAATTTTATCGGTCAAAATGTCCGACGGTTTTTTTTACAGACTGTGACTGTATAACAATGACACATAATCTTAACAAAATCATTTAATTCAATATTCAATCAGCGTGCAAAGCCAAAGGATTTTTTTTTTTAAAAAACGTAGTGATGCGCCAGATTATTCTCGTGCATTCTTGTTTAATTATAAATGTAGACGGTGTATGTCTACTATAAAAGGCTACATAATAAAATAATATTCTCCATAAGTTCTATAAATTAATCTAATAGAATTATAAATGTTAAACTATTTTTTGCATTTGTTCCCATGCATTTGTTAGCATTTAATACAAGCGCGTTTTCCCCGTTTCTAAAAATAGCGGACTAGCTGACTTGATGTAATAAAACGACAGAACCTTCACTTAAAATCATTATTCTCATGATATATTTGCATATTTTTATATTAATAGTACATATTGATGTATAATACATTCTTAAGTAAATTAAACAATCAACAAAAAGACGTCATGTTGCAGATTTTATTTAAAAAATGAAATATGTCAGAAAGGACATAATTTTTATACGATGAAGCTCTGGTCATCATACACCGTCAGCGGTGTCAAACCCCACATACACAAGCCTAATAGAAAATATTTTAATAAATTAAATAAGAAAAATGCATTTGCCAACTTTTCATTTAGACATGGCCAGGTATTTGTCCTAAGATCTTCCTGATCATGGACTACAGTGACAAACCGATAAGACAAACTGAATGGGAAATAGAGAGAGAGAAAAGGAATAAATTAAATAATTTTTTTTAACTGTTTGCATTACTTTTAAGTGGATTTTATTTTATCTAAAAAATTAACGTCCGGTAAATTTTATATTTGTCCGATGAATTTAAAAAATTTACAGGACAATTGTCCGACATATTTTTGACTAGTTTCGGGAACTCTGGGTGTTAAAGGGAAACCTCATGTTTATATTAGATAATTATCTATATTTCAAAACAAACTGTATCCCTTCAGTAAATGAGTTAAAAAGCACCACATAGTTTTCATTTTGACATGTGTCATTGGATGTTTGTATGCAATAAACTGGTATAATGTTTATTAGTAATTCTGAACTGTTACAGTGATGTTTGGAGGAAGAGAGTAAAACTGTGTGGAATGAAAAAGTACTGCTACAGATACTTTGTTTGTCAAATAATGGAGTCGGACAGTGAATCTACGGACAAATCTGTGAAGGTCATTCGCTGGGAAACTAACATTGCACCCAGGATCTTTTCTCCCACAGGTAAAAAATCCTTTGTTTCTACAGGCCAAGATTTAATGGATTGACAGTAAAATATTTTACATCATTTGATTGAATTTCAAAAAATTTGTATGATTATTGTAGTAAGAGGTAAAAGACTGTAATCATGTTAATCAACACTTACATGTATGTTTGACCTCAAGTGAAGAAAACTGAGTTACATTGTTCTATTTATATTTTATAGACTATATGCAAGATCCACTCAAGTATGATGCAACAATAGAAAAATTTGGGGAATATGGTATGAGAATTAAAATCTATCTATAGAATTTATAAAAGTGCAGATACATGCAGTGATGGAAATTTTACTTGATGCATATTTTCCTTCAAATTTAAGGTAAGGTATTTATTTTTTTTTCATAGGTGGAAAATTCCATGTAACTAATGGATGGTTGACAGACCAACTAGAAATACATATCCGTATGCATGGCAACCCAATTCGTATGTGGAAGCCCAAATACAGAAAGCAGACTTACAGAATAAAGTGCACTCCTCTTGATCAACGATACCAAGACGTAATTGTCTTTCATGTGTAAATTGTGCAGTTGTAAGGATAATCTGTAAAACAGCTGCAGTTCATTTTCTGAATTTTTGAAAATCTTCTTTTGTTTTACACAATTTATTCTTTTCATTTTAACTTTTATTTGATAGAACTTTGAACTTTCTAGCACTAAAATTGATTGAAATTTTAAAAAATGGATAATCAGTCCTGGAGTTTAACCTGTACAGGCACCAGTATAACTACATGTATTTAATTTAATATTCTCTCTTCAGCATTTAGATGAAGATGAGGAGGAAGATGAATGGGGAACACATGTGTCACCACCAGCTACCTTCACCAAAGTGCTAGTGTCTGTAAGTAACCTTCACCAAATGTTACTTTAAGTTATCTTCACCAGAAGTCACCATCACCAAAGTGCTAGTGTCTGTAAGATACCTTTGCAAAAGTGCTTGTGTCTCTAAGTTTCTCTACCTTTACTAAAG